CAATAAATGATCCCAAAAATTCAAACTTTCTCTGAAAATATGTGAAAATAGCCCTACCATCCTAGAGGAAGTGCCAGTATAACCCTAATTTAAATGTTCAGTATCACTGTGTAAGACAAAATGGGTAAGTCATGATACATATTGATTTGATGTGTCAATCTTTAGAAAACATGTTTCTGATATCAGTTTCTGATCAAAAAAAAGTATTATTAGTGTTGATTAGTTACGTCAGAATTTGTTGGCTAAAATGAATTCTGATGATAACTTATGGGCATGGAATATTTTCTTCACACCTTAGTTAAAGTAGTGAAACTGAATATCTGGCAGTAAGGTAGAAAGTATATGTAATGCAGTAGTTTGCATCATATATATGTTAATTTTCTGAATACTGTATCCACTATGAACATACAATAATCAGCATTTTATGTAATATAAATAGTTACTTTATAAGATAAGAATGATTATTGTAGATTATTGTGCAGTGTACAAGCAATCCAAACTCCATTATATTTTTATATATTTTAAGGTTTGGACAAGAAAGCAAAAGTCCCCCAACAACTGAAAATATAATCATTCTGCCTACATATGTATCCATTTCATTGAAGTGTATCACCTTTTCTTTTTTTTAATTTCATTATTATTTATCATTGAAGAGAGTGCAGTGAGTAGTACAAATTTTTCTAGATATTTTTTTGATCATGTGATTATTGACGTTTCTACTCTTCTTGAATCTATTGGTAGTAAGAGGGACACGTGATTGGCGAATTTATATAAAATGTAATGTAATATATTTCATTCTGGTGATAAATCCTTTTGAGTATTTATTGAGGTTTGTGATTATTTTGCTATTCCATTGTCATTATCAAACATTCTTCCTATTTGTTGCCACTAACCTTTTCCTCATGAACTCTCCATTCCTTTCCTTTGGATCTGGTTGTTACTCTCTTGGTGGCTGTCACATTCTCTGTCCCTTTCTGAATTTGGTCCTTCCAATTCTCTGTAGCTAAGAGGAACTGGGTAGGCAACATCTTGGGTCTGTAATGGTTCCAGCTCAATCTTTCAATGGGTCACCACATGCATTGTGGCTGACGGCAGCTGTGAGGCCTACTTTGAATTCACAGCATTCTTAGTACACCTACTTCATCTCTTGTGTTTCTTTTGTCATTCAACCTCTAGAGGGTCCTAAAAGTGGGCCAGTGAGTCTTATGTATCTCATTTAGGATAACACTTTGCAAAGTTCCACCCAAATATTTGTCACATGACAATTATTGTGCTTCAGAGCCAGATCTTGGAAGTGGTATATCTTGACAGGTAGCATTGCATATTTTTGTTTCCTTCTCTATTCATTCAGTGTGTACTAGCTTTTTCATCAAATCACAGTAGACCAAAAGATTAGGCATCTGATTAATGAAAATTATATTTTCTGTCCTAGAGGTCTATTATGTGGGTTCTCTTCCCTTCCTGCAGAATGTTGCTTTCTGGCATAAATCTCTAGGAAAGAGGAAATTCCAGGGGTCGGTTTTCTCTGAATTTGTCCTCCTTGGGACTTTCTTATTGTAACTTCCCTGGTTTCTGGAAGTTAACTCACAGGATTTCTAATTAGGCACTGATTACTTGATCCCTATAACCTTTTCACCAGAACTCTTTGATAAACAAAAAGAAAGAAAAAATCTGTTATATGAATATTATGCATTATATTGTTAATTTTGTGATGAGAGTGAAAAGACACTAATATAAGTTATCCCCATCATTTTCATCTGCTCTCTGTGGGATTACTTATGATATAATTATTGTTATTGTTATTATTGCTGTTAATGATAATGCAGATGATGATGATCATCATCATCATCATTATCATCATCTTTATTGTTATTATTATTATTATGATTGTTATTGTTATCATTTCTAAGGTTATCATTGTTATTATTATTATTATTAATATTGTTATTATTATTATTATTAATATTGTTATTATTATTATTATTAACTCATTCGTGCTGGGTGCAGGGGCATCACTTAAGGGGGGGTATGGGGGGTTGGTTCAACCTCCAACTTTTAAAAAAGCCTCTTTTTGCAGGGCAAAATCTAGTTCTGCAGGGCAAATTTTCTCTTACAGAATCTGCCTCAATAGCCGATAAGTATTCAAGATAAATAACTATATGAAACTAATTGTTGATGATACTTGATTTATAACATTTCACTGATGGTATCAATCTAGACAGCACTGTGCAGAAATGGTCAAAGGCAAAACTGCGACGCCTAAGAATCAAGTGATGACTGATGAGAGAATGCTCTCTTTCGACAAAACCAAACTATCGAAATTAATTTTTTAACCCTGTTCTATTCGTTATAGATTTCTTGTTTTTTGGTATTGTAAGAAGTTTCTAGTTAAGTTTTTACGTTTTTTGTTGTTTTGTTCATTTAGCATTTGTAAATACTAGCTGATGGTCCATTCCGGGGTACTTATAAGGAGCTAGTGAGCATTTTCTTTTTCGTGATT